TCCTGCTGAGAACTTTCTCTGTGAAATGCCCACTACTGTCCTTTTCCTACACAAAAGACAACAGATGGTTAAAAGATTGGTTAATGGCTTCATGCCCTCTATTCTAGCTAGGGGAAAACTGGCCATTGAGCTGCAATGAATGGCCAGTTCTCCTTCTGCAAAAACTAACTTTAAGGACCCATCCTTCCTGCCACACCCCCCCCCCCCCCCCACACACGCACACAATATTCCTGTCATGAACCACCGATTGCCATTTACAGAAGCAATGATCCTAAATATAAATGGCCATTACTGTACTCTCTGTCTGGTCTATTATGTTTTATTTAAGTATCTCTAGCTCTGCTGTGAGCCCTGAGTGACCACACAGCACATTAGCTACCAATAATGACCTATTAGCTTAAGGATCTTTGCCTAAGTAATCAGAAGTATTTACCTGATGTCTAATGCATCCCAGCTGTGGAGGAGGTTGAAAATCGCCTTTCAGAAAAGATTGTATTGAAATTGATGTGACCTGAGAAGTCCAGCATGTGACCATGATTATACAACCAAATCGAGATTAGTGAGCAGTCTAGTCTAAATTGTAGCAATGGTTCAGCAAAAATGTCCCACAGTCAGTAGGCTGCATAATAATTAGCTAACTATTCTGTCTTTCTCTCTCTTTCTCACTCCATAAATGTGAGAGTGCATTTTCAAAGATGCCTCCTACAATGGCACCTGCAAATTTTCACATTCAGGCACGCTGTTTGCGGTGTGCAATTGCTGACATTTGGCCTTGCAAAGCAGCTCTTTGCATACACGCATAAATGACTTTTGCATGGGTAAATGTGAGAATTTAAATTGCATAGAAGAGTGTATTTCAAATTTTGCAGATGCAATTTTGCAGGATCCTTTGAAAATGTCAGGTGAGGTGATCCAAACCCTTACTTGTATTGACTCTTATCTACCATCCAAGCAAAGCAACTCAACTAGGAACAAAATGCACGGGCACAGATTTTATTTTTAAACAAGAACCTGGGAAGACCACTGGCAAATGTGATTTCAGCATTCCAACCTGTTCTCTTTCAGGAGTAGAAAAACCATGGACATAAAACTGACATATTGTGTTAGAAGGAGTGACTATTTTTCATTTAAAGCACAAAAATACTCTTGGCATTTTGTTAGTAGTCCAGCAAGTATAAATAAGCATCAATGACAGACAAGCATTTTAGAAAGAAGCAGGGTCACCCCAAGATATCAGGGATACTGAGCAGGCAAAAGAAAAAAGGACATCTAAATAGGAAACAACACAATTTTGTATTGGAAAATATTTGTTTTTAATCCTCTTTTGTATCACTGCATTTTTTATGATTAACAGCTTAGATGTGAATATAGAACATGTGGCAATTATTATTTGTCTTTGTTTAACAGGATGGGCATTTAGAGACACAAATTGGATTATTCCTCAAAAGGTTCCCATAGAGGATGAAATGAAATATCTCGCTTTTTCTGAATGGCTGGAAAGAGACAGGACAAAGAGAGAGAGAGAGAGAGAGAGAAAGATGAGAACCTACTTGTCAATATGATGAAAATTTCACTTATTCCTTTGCCTTTTTAATTGCTTAGGGGAGAAAAGTAACAAGCACATTAGTTAAGCCTGTTCATTTACTGTTTTGTGCCTCAGAGAGTGAGAATGAAACATCCATTATTTTTATGAGAAGATGCTTCCTAAATATTCAGCAGTAGAAAAAAGAACCACCACTACCACACCATTATTTGCATCATAAATCAAGACTCGCTTGATCTGACAAGGCCACTTGTTGGACTCACAGCTTCTTTCTTAAGTGGAAAGCCAAAATGAGATAGGTTTGCTAACAATAAACGATCTGCGTCAAAGCCAGGCGACAGGCAAAACAGATGCAGGTGCTTGTTCCAGAGGAAAGTGGGGTTTGGTTCTCAGTAATGGCATTCAAGAAAGCTCTTT